GCCGGGCCGGGGCCAGGCCTCCCCCCACGCTGGGCTGTCCCGCCAGGCCGGGGCCAGAGCTCTCCCCACGCTGGGCTGTCCCGCCGGGCCGGGGCCAGAGCTCTCCCCACGCTGGGCTGTCCCGCCGGGCCGGGGCCAGAGCTCTCCCCACGCTATGACTCCTGCCAGCCACTGCGCGCAGGTTTGCCTCAGCGCCGCCTTGGTGCCAGGCCGGTCCCTGGCCTGCTCCCAGGAGTCCATCTCCTTGTAGAAATAGCTGTGCGGATCCTCCAGGCCCAGCTCGGCGAACAGAGCCCTCACGGAGCCCCTGGGCGCAAGGGTGAAATCAGGCCGGGGGGCTGCGAATGGCTGACAATGACTCCTGCCAGCCACTGCGCGCAGGTTTGCCTCAGCGCCGCCTTGGTGCCAGGCCGGTCCCTGGCCTGCTCCCAGGAGTCCATCTCCTTGTAGAAATAGCTGTGCGGATCCTCCAGGCCCAGCTCGGCGAACAGAGCCCTCACGGAGCCCCTGGGCGCAAGGGTGAAATCAGGCCGGGGGGCTGCGAATGGCTGACAGCGGACACGGATCTGAGGGCCGGCCAAGGGCGTAGGTGTGAGCTGCTGGCAGCACCAGCCGGACGCCCCGGGGCTGGCAGTACCCCCCACCTGGCCGACACAGCCCGTGCCTGGGACATAGCGGGGTGGCTGTCGCCCGCCACAGGAGGGGGTGCAAGTGTTCTGCTGCTGCCTGCAGCCATCATGTCTGTGGGCCCAGCTCCGGCAGCTAGTGCCTGCTCCGGGCGTCCCGCCCTGCCCCATCTCTGAGGCTCAGGAAGTGGGGGGCACGGTGCTGGCACCCCCAGGTTTTGGACATCCTGGCCACATGCCCCTGCCACCCAGGGGTCCTGGCTGCCGACCTGCTGATACCCAGGGGCTCTGCTGCTGGCCCTGGATCCTGCTCAGCCATTGGCCCCAAGTCCCACTCGGGCGCCTGCTCTGGTCCCTCAGGCTCACTGGCCCCGCTGCCGGGCCCAGAACAGACTGTGCACAGCAGCAGTGGGGGAGCAGAGGAGAGAGAGGGGACCTGGCTCAGACACCTGGGCCTGCCCTGTCCCGCAAGGGCAGAGTTCCCCGGGGCTGGAGTCGGCACGATGGAATGTGTACGGGCAGCGCTAGCTACAATGGGATCTATAGGGGCAGTGTTAGTTACGAGGGGGTCTATAAGGGGCAGCATGTCACGTTACTGGATTTTAAGGGGAGCAGCCAGATCACAGCTGCACCCATGGGGGGGTGCCCCGAAAGTCCATACAAAGGGGGGGCCATGTGAGGTGTCACAGGAAAGCTGTTGTTCTACTGATTCTGTACACGCTCTTCATGTGTTTGTATAATGTCTGGGTGTGGAGTTAGAAATATGGACTCTGTGTGGATGCTGGAAAATCCTCTGTGTGAGGCGGAGCCATGGGCCGGGAATGTTTGCTCAATGGCTATGTGATGAGTGAGGCTCCAGGGACAATAGATCTCTAGGTGCCAAAGACACACCCGGGGAATGAATCTGGATGACGGCAGACCAGCCAGAAGAATGATCACTGGCTTGGGACACAAGGACAGGCCACTGGCCATGGGACCTGCTACAGCTTGGAAGATGCCAGGGGAGGTACATAAGCACCATGTGGCACCCTCCATCTTGTCTTCAGTTTTGCTCCTGATCCCAGATGCAGCCTTGCAGGGAACAACGAGCCGGAAAGAGCCGTGGACCCATCCTGACACAGGATGGACACCAGAGACTTATAAGATAGCAGCTGTCACATCTCTGCTGAGAGCCTGTATTGAGAACTGGGAGATTCGATGCATGTAATGTACTAGCCTTAACAACCTGACTCTCCTGCTTTTCTTTCTTTTAGTAATAAACCTTCAGATGGTGGATGCTATAGGAGGGTCTGTCTACACTACCCCCCTAGTTCGAACTAGGGTGGTTAATGTAGTCATACAAACTTGCAAATGAAGCCTGGGATTTGAATTTCCCGGGCTTCATTTGCATGTTGCCGGGCGCCGCCATTTTTAAATGTCCGCTAGTGTGGACTCCTTGCCCGCGGCTACACACGGCACGAACTAGATAGTTTGGACTAGGCTTCATATTCCGAACTATCTAGTTCGTGTCGCGTGTAGCCGCGCGGCACGCAGTCCGAACTAGCCGGCATTTAAAAATGGCGCCGGACAGGATCAAGCAAATGAAGCCCGGGATCATGCAAATGAAGCCCGGGAAATTCAAATCCCGGGCTTCATTTGCAACTCCGCCGCACTAGCTACGACGGGGTCAATAGGGGCCGCACTAGCTACGACGGGGCCTATACGAGCCGCACTAGCTACGACGGGGTCAATAGGGGCCGCACTAGCTACGACGGGGCCTATACGAGCCGCACTAGCTACGACGGGGTCAATAGGGGCCGCACTAGCTACGACGGGGCCTATACGAGCCGCACTAGCTACGACGGGGTCAATAGGGGCCGCACTAGCTACGACGGGGCCTATACGAGCCGCACTAGCTACGACGGGGTCAATAGGGGCCGCACTAGCTACGACGGGGCCTATACGAGCTGCACTAGCTACGACGGGGCCTATACGAGCTGCACTAGCTACGACGGGGCCTATACGAGCTGCACTAGCTACGACGGGGCCTATACGAGCTGCACTAGCTACGACGGGGCCTATACGAGCTGCACTAGCTACGACGGGGCCTATACGAGCTGCACTAGCTACGACGGGGCCTATACGAGCTGCACTAGCTACGATGGGGTCTATATGATTTGCTTTGTCTTTGCTGTGCTCTCTGCAGCCTGCGGGGTCTCTGGCCCAGCCCTTTGGCTGGGGGAGCAGGTGCGAAGGGGATGGGCTGGTACCAGCCTGGGACAGCCTCTGAGCACAGCGCACCGATCGCAGCCGTGGGGCGAGGCCCTGTGTCCCCGGCAGCCAGTGCCCCCAGGCCTGGAGTCCAGGAGCGTGCAGGTCCACATCCCACCCTCCATGCCCGTGGCCCGTGGCCCGGCACTCACCAGCAGGAACTGTACAGGAAATACCCCATCAGCTCCAGCACCAGCTCCTGGCTGTCTCTGCCGAAGGCCAGGAGAGCGTTCAGGGACGTCAGCACAAACCTCCTCTGAGTCCTCTCCTGCAAGGAGAGAGAGGGGCATTGGCCTGCCCCCGTGCTGGGGGAAGCAGCTTCTTGGGGATGCCCTGGGCTCGGCTGGGACGGGCAAAACGCAGGGCGCGATGCTGGCTGCTGAGGGCAGGGGAGGGCAACAGGTCTATAGACACAGCCGTGCACAAGCCATGGCCACGCCCCATCCCGGCAGTGCATGGTGCCCCTCAGCAGGCTGCGCCTGCCCCAGATCCCGGCTCCGCGCTGCAGCTTCCCCAGCGTGTGCCGGGCTGTACAAAGGGGGGTCTGCGTTCCCTCTGCGGGGTCATTTGGACGCGCCCTTCCCCCTTGCTGCCCTCGCCTGGCCGGGGGGAGAGAGGCCGGGGGGAAGGGTTACTGCTGCCCTCGCACGGCCAGGAGGAGAGAGGCTGGGGGGGAAGGGTTACTGCTGCCCTCGCACGGCCAGGGGGAGAGAGGCCAGGGGGGAAGGGTTACTGCTGCCCTCGCACGGCCGGGAGGCGAGAGGC